AGGTGTGTTCTCTAACCCGACAAATTTAAGTTTTGGGGTGCTTAAACCCATAAAATTCCCCGCGCCATCTTGGGGGGGGGAAGATTTGTGGGAGTTGCACCCCACGCATTGTAAAGTTGCCGAGGTTCAGAAACACTGCTCTAGGGCAATGTTTTTCAACCTTGGCAACATTAAGATGTGTGGACGTCAAGTCCCAGAATTCCCCAGCCAGCATACTGGCTGGGGGACTCTCTTGACCACACCCTGCAGCCATCCCCTGGTAAAATAAAAAGCCATTTTCCCATGCTCAGAGGCACTGAGAGAGAATGCCTTTCCCACCTCACTCCCTGCAAATGAAGCAAATAGGATTATTAAAACTTAAATTGAATTGCTTAAATTCACTGCCTGCCCAATTCCAGTGGACTCTGGAATATTAACTCTTGGAATATTTAGCACAAACTTTCTGACTTTTTAAAGAATGAGATGAAATGAAGAGAATTTGAGCCCAATCTGGGCCCAGTCCTGGACCTCAAAACCCTCTTTAAATCAGCAACACTCTGCACTCAGGGTATTTTACATAAGTGTCTCTGAGCATGGGAAAATGGCTTTTTATTTTTATTTTTGCCCCAGCTTTCCATGGTTTTGTTTTGTTTTTTGAGCTCCTAGCTTATTGCAGGAATGCATTCTTACCAGGGTATGGCTGCAGGGTGTGGTCAAAAAAGTCAAGATGGTGGCTGCGACAGAGTGATCAAAGCTCCACCTGTTTGTTACGTGCATCATCAGAGCTTTGATCGCACGGCCCCCATCTTGACTTTTCTGACCACAACTTTCGGACGCTCCTGATTCTTACAGAATGGACTTTGGATCTTGCAAATTTGCAACCACCTCACCATGCCTTCACCTCCCGCCCAGTGATTTGCCTCCCACTCTCAACAGGATCGTTCCCCTTGTGGAGCTTCCCACAGGCATATTTCAGGGGCTCAGATAGCTTGTAAGGCAAGGAAGGTCATGCTGCGGACCTCTCTTCCCAGATGCTGAGCACCACTTTCGTCCCCAATGGTGGATTAAATAAGTGGAAGCCAACGAGTTCTTTTTTCACTCCGAAGTCCCATTGTTTCAAGTGATGTGGTCCTGGAGACTTGCAGTGGGAAAATGGGTATCTGTGTATTTCATTTTGTCGCAATTATTGCTTAAAACTGTTGACTCTGCTGTTCAGCTCTGAGAAGCCAAATGCCAGATGAACCACCCTTTCCAAAGAATAAATAACAGATGGAGCAAAAGGGAAAAACAGTTGGCTCATTCACTTTTGCATCCAAACTTTTTTTTTTTTGGCTTGGCTTTGCTTTGCTTTGCTTTGCTTCCCACTCTTTATGAAATTCTGGATTATAAGCAATTAAACTACTCCCACAACAACCCCGGGAAGATAGGGTAGACCTTTGCACATAGGAACCCAATCAGCAGTAGCCCTTCTGGGTCAGAATAGCCCTCTGAAACCTTCTCTTAGTTTCCTGCAGTGGCCAACCAGATGCCTTTGGGGTGCTTGTAAGAGATGGAGACATCTGCTTCTCCTAACATTGTTTCAGGGTTGGTGGCCTCCAACTCAGAGGGAACCCCTAGCCCTCAACAGACTGGCCCTTTGTGGATTTATCCAATGCCTTTAGCTTCTGGCCATCACCACATCTTTTGGTGTTGAATTCCACGGATTTAATTATGGAAAGGGTTTCCTTTTGTCTGTTTTAGCTCTTGCAATCACATTCAGGAACTCATCCCTGGTTTTAAGAGGATGAGAAAAACTTCCTAATCAGGCGGTCAGGGGAGTCAAAAAAGGCAAGATGGCAACCACAATCATGTCACCAAAGCCATAAAAAGGGTGGGGCTTCAATTGCATGGTTGGGGCTACCACCTTGACTATTTGTGACCCGTTCCCTGTGGACATCCCTGTTCCTTTCTCCATGGCATGAATGATCGTGTGTGCCTTGATCATGACCCCCTTTTTCCCAGGCTAAAGCGTGTTCAGCCTTCTAGCCTTTTCTTGAAAAGAAGCCACTGAAGGGCCCTGATCTTTTTAGCTGACTACTTCTGCATCAGTCTATTATGTCCTTTTCTAAGTGTTTTGATCAGAACTGTATGTAGTATTCCTGATATTAATTGATTGATTGATCATATTTATATAGCCGCCCATCTCACAAAAAGTGAGTCTGGACAGTGTATAACACTCAATTTAAAAACCCATAAATACATATAAAACAATAATGAAAACTATGAAAACTATTTAAAAAAAGTTTTACTTTGTAAGCTGCCCAGAGTCACTGTGTGTGAGTTGGGCAGCCATGTGAATTTTCTAAATAATTAAATAAAAACACGCACAACAGGAGAGGATGATGTCAACTGTAGTAAGGGAGCCATCGCAAAATCTCCTTGGTCCCCTGGGACCCCCACTCCTGATCACATAGCCAGGTCTTGAGGGACTTGCAGAATGTTAAGAGGGATGGAGCTAATCTCACTTCTGGGGGGAGAAGTTTCCACAAGGCGGGCGCCACAGCAGAGAAGGCCCGCCTCCTGGGACCCGCCAAATGTAATTCCCTGGCAGGTGGGACCCGCAGCATGCCTTCTCTGCCAGATCTGATGGGACGGGCAAATGTAATCGGGGAGAGGCAGTCCCTCAGATAACCCGCCCCATGCCATGAAGGGCTTTAAAAGTCAAAACCAGCACCTTGAATTGGACCCAGAAGCAAACCAGCAACCAGTGCAGCTCACGGAGCACAGGTGTAACATATGCCCTTCTTGGCGCACACATAACTGCCCTCACCGCCACAGTTTGCACCAACTGAAGCTTCCAGATACTCTTCAAGAGCAGTCCCATGTAGAGGGCATTACAGAAGTCCAAAGAAGGAGGTGACCAGGGTATGAGTGACAGTGAGCGGAGCCCTCGATGCAGGAATGGGCGCAACTGGCGCACAACCTGAAGTTGTGCAAAGGGTCTCCTAGCACAACTGCCACCTGCTCTTCAAGTGGGAGTCTTGACTCCAGGAAGACCCCCAAATTGCACACTGGGTCTGTCTGGGGCAGTGCCACCTCATCCAGCACCGAAGATGGCATAATCCTAGAACCGGAAGGCCCCCAAACCCAAAGCCACTCAGTGTTGCCAGGGTTCAGCTGAAGCCCGTTGCTCCCCATTCAGACCCTCGCAGCCTCCAGGCACCAGGATAAGACATTCACAGCATTGCTTAATTAAGAGATTATGATATTGATGATGCCTCACCTCATGGCGACAGCTGAGCTCGCCCAGCGGCCTCATGCGGATGTTAAAAAGGAGAGGGGAGAGTAGGATCCCACACGGTAGGGACTGAGAGCGGATCTCTCCTCCCCAATCATCACTGATTGGAATTGACTGAAATTAGCCCCAAAGAAAGGAGATGAACCAGCACAACTCCATGCTGCCCACCCCCAATCCTCTGAGCCGATCCAGAAGGATACCATGGTTGATGATCTCGAAAGCTGCAGGGAAGTCAAGTAGAGCAAGGGTGGATGCACAACCCCCATCCCGCCCTCGCCAGAGATCATCCAAAAGTGCGACCAATGCTGTTTTCATCCCATATCCGGGCCTGAATCCCGACTGAAAGGGATCCAGGTAATCCAGATAGGAACATACTACAGGTTTATCTAGGTGCATTACTGTGCTGGCAATTCTATTTTATTATTAACTTTATTACAGTCAATTAGAGTAGTACAATATTAAAAGAAAAGGAAAGAGATGAAATATGTCCAATCCAAATAAGGGATTATATATCCAAAAGTATGCTAGTCAAGGATTAACTTTATTACAGTCAATTAGAGTAGTACAATATTAAAAGAAAAGGAAAGAGATGAAATATGTCCAATCCAAATAAGGGATTATATATCCAAAAGTATGCTAGTCAAGGTACTTATAGATTATAATTAAAAAATCATTTACAATAATTTATGCACCATGGCTTCAATCGTCCTGAAATTACACCTTATAAACCATTAAAATTAAGAGTTAATATTGGTTTTTGAATACATAAATATAGAAACACAGAATGCTTATATCAATTGTTCACAATAATACGTCAGCTCTTAAGAGCTGCTGCACAAACTCTTGCCCCCTGCACTGTAACGTTAATCCACCCAACTTTGAGGAGAATTTGAAGATATTCGGCATCCGGTCGGCCAGGATATCTGCTGATCGTTGGAGAAATAAATTTTGTTTGTAATTCTCTATAAAATGGACACCGTAAGAGGACATGCCCAGTGGTTTCCACTTCCCCAGAACCACATGGACACAGCCTTTTAACCAATGGGACATTCTATTTTCAGTCTCTTGCCTTAGGATTCCCTAGACTTTTCCAACTCAACAAATCCACGTGAGTGATTTGAGTTCTTCACTATATCTCAATATTTTCTCTCTAATTATGTACTGATAGCTCCAACCCCATTAGTATGTATGTAAAGAAAGCTTCTTTGCTCCCGGGCCGATTACTTTATATTTGCTTCAATTAAGTCATGATTTAGTTCAACCACTTCTCTGATTTGGTTGGCATTGAATAATTAGTATAGTCACTCACTCTGAAATCGACATATCTTCCTCTCTTCTGTTGGCCAGTCATGATGGCATCTGGATAATAGATTTTTCCCCCTTTTGCAGTGATGAGTACCTTTCTCTGAGGGGACCACGGAATGCCCCCGTTGTAAAAGAGTCTGTCCGCTGGAAATTCACTCCTATGGGCTGGGATGCCACCCCTCAAACCTGGTATACTGGTCTGACAAACAGCCACAACCGTGATGCCTGGTACACCATCACCAACCCCGTTGACCGAGAGACCCACCACCGCTGGCAGAGGTCCAATGCCAAACAGGAGAAGACTCTACCACCTGGTGAGTGTTTAGGGGACCCCGGAGAGCTCCAGACTATGCTCCCATTAAGCTTTTTCAGAATTAGAGGTGGGCAACCTGTGCCCCCCCAAGTCTTCTTTTGGCAGCCTTTGAAGCCCCCTCTGACCAATTTGTATTATTTGTAGAGTTGCTATAGGATGTAATACAATACAATAAGATGTAGTACAAGACTTATTTTTCCCTATAACAACAGCCCCCTGTGGGGTAGGCTGGGCTGGGGGAGGGGGACTGGCCCAAAGGCCCCTGGTATCTTCTGTGGCCAAAGGACTAGAACCTGGGTCTCTCCACTCTTAGCCCAGTACCTTCACCACTGGACTATTCTAACTCAGGCTGAGGGGGGGGGGGGAACTGACCCAAAGTCATCCAGAGAACTTCTGTGATTGATGAGGGTCTAGACCCTGGATCCCTCTGTTCCTACTCCAGCCCCTTCACCATTACACCAAACTGGCTTTCATCCAACTGTGGGGATTCCAGTCAATACAAGCCAACTCTGCAGTCATTTTGTGCTGCCCTGCTAACATTTGTAAGAACAGCAGTTCTAAAATTTCCCCATTAACACTGCCAGAAAAAGCGAATAAGGGCACTTTCAATACAGGTAGTCCTCATCTTACGATCATTCTTTTAATGACCATTTGAATTACAACAGCACCGAAAAAAGTGACTTATGACTGGTCCTTTCACCTATGACCCCCCATGGTCATGTGATCAAAATTCAGGCGCTTGGCAATCAGCTTGTATTTATGACAGTTGCAACATCCTGGGGTCACGTGATCACCAGTTGTGACCTTCCCAGGGAGCTTCCAACAAGCAAAGTCAATGGGGGAAGCTGGATTTGCTTAATGACCATGTGATTTGCTTAATGACCATGGCAAAAAGGTCATAAAATTGGGCGCGACTCACTTAATGACTACATCGCTTAGCAACAGAAGTTCTGGTCCCAATTGTGGTTGTAAGTTGAGGACTACCTGTAAAGCTTAACTTTTTCCAAATGAAGCAGAAACAAATGAAAATGGCTGTGTAACCCTCCACATAGGCATATCAGGTTTTTTTTTTTTTAAATAGCAATACCTTTTTTTTTTTAATGATAGCACTCTGCTCTTTGGCAGTAGATCAACAGAGAAGGTAAAAGTTTGAAAACCATTAAGCTAGGAGCTAAAAAAACAGACATAACCAAATATGGTATCGGCCTTTTCCGCTGTAGCAAAATAATGTGGGCTCACATCTGTGCTTCCCACTCTCCTTTATCCTCAGCTTATGCCCAGCATTTGCGAGAGACAAGCTGGTATGATCCAATCATCCCTCCTCCGTATTCGGATCCTAACACACGATGGGGTGCTTTTTTATGGAAGGATAAGATTGTTCCCGGAAAGGAATATGGTAAGAAGCAGGATGGGGAAGAAGAGACATTGGGGCTTTATAGAGAAAGGCCCAGGCAGGCGTTGCTTCATCAGAGACTTTTAATATTCTCTCTCCCCACCCCACCTTCCTTTTCCCTAATTCTAGACCTCAGGATCATCCAGTGAAATTGACCTGGATAAAGAAAACTTTCTCACACTACTCAGTTCATTTGGGGAATGCGCTGTCACCTGAATGGCAGCTATTTTAGGAGTTTTTAAAAGGGGATTGGACATATTCAAGGAAACATCTTTTGATAACTATTGGCTATGATGAATAAATGTGAGTTTTTTTGCTCAGAGGAACAAGGGTAAAAGGGACCCTTACATTTAAGCCCTGATTAGGGTTATTAACCAAGAAATAGGGTCGGAGGCAAGAAGCTGGATGGAACTTTGGTTTAATCTGGCAAGATTCAGCCTTATGGAAAAGCATTACTACAAATTGGGGCCATCAGCCACAGCAAACCATCTCTCTTGGATTTTTTTAATGCTGGTGGCAAGGAACATGGGAGAGCTGTTGATGATGGTTGCCCCGTAAGCCAGTGTTCTCAACCTTGGCAGCTTTCAGATGTGTGGACTTCAACTCCCAGAATCCCCCAGCCAGCTATGGTGGCTGTGGAATTCTGGGTGTTGAAGTCCAGACATCTGAAAGCTGCCAAGGTTGAGAAACCCTGCCTTAAGCATTCCTTGGCTGTTTTTAGGACCAGCATGCTGGATTAGTTGAACCCCTTTGGATCTGATTCAGAAGTGCTCTTCCAGTTTTCTTAGGCGGTTACAGCATCTTTGGTCTGCTTGCCACAACTGGGTAAAGCAGGATCTTTTCTGGCCACCAGCTTCTCCTATTCATCCTTCTTGCAATGTAAGGAAGTTGGCATTATAGGCAATCCTTGTTTACCAACTGTCTTGTGCAGTGACTGTTCAAAGTTAACTTTGCAAGCAATCCTTGTATTTACAACTGTTGCAGCGTCCCATAGTCATGTGATTGCCATTTGCATGCTTTGCAACCAGCTTGTGACAAGCAGAGTTAACAGAAAAGGTGGAAGTAAAATTCCAAGTCACAGTCACGTGATTTTTCACTTAATGACTGCTGTACTTCACTTAATGACTGGAGGGGAAGTAAGGTCGTAAGCCCACCACAGTCACATGATTTTCCGCTTAGGAACTGTGGTGCTTAGCAATCGAGTTGCCTGTCCCAATTTTAGTCGCTAAGTGAGGACTACCCTATAGGCATTTTGCTGGCACTACCATAACTCCATAATACCTTCTCAGGTCAAGAATGGTCCCTTTTCCTATCACCTGCCATCTTTGAGTTTTTTTTCCCCTTGAGTTGCTGGTCTTGAACCTGGTCTCTCTTGCATGCAGTAGGTGGGCTCTTAAGTCCACCTCCCCCAAGGGGATGCTTCCAGATGCCTTGAGACAACAGCTCCCCAAATTCCCAGGCCACTAAGAGGTGTGATCCACATGCAAGCAAGGAAGGCCACTTAAATTTTCATGGGCCTCTTTTCAACCACAGCCTCCCTTACTCTCTCTTTCCAGTCGTCAACCGCAATCGCTGTGCTGAGGAGCTGAAGGGAAAGCCAGGCTATGTGCCCCACCTCTCTCTCCACACTCCAGTCTTCACAGCAAAGGACTACCGCACCTGGAGGATGTTCAGCCACCAGCCTTCAACCAACAACCAGTAAAGCCTCTTCCCGCTGCTTGGCATGATGTGATAATCCTCCTTCGTGGTGCAAGGTGGGGATAGCATCTCCCCTTTGTGCTCAGGGCCCATGTTGTAGGCCCAGGGCCTTGGAGTGATGTGGCGTGGCAGCGTGCCCCGCAGCCTGCACCATGTTGATGCGGCCAACTCGTCGCGATTGTGCTGTAAAAGGAGGGAGCTGAGAGCGCTTCGCCCTTTTACCTGTGTTTGTTTTCTAATGAAATCGATGGGCAGACAATTCTTCATGTACTTCTTTATGCAATGCAGAAATAACCGGTGGACGTCCCTGCCATCTGAGGATGGGATAACCCCTACTTCAGTGTTGTTGTTGTTTTAAAAAAAGAGAGACAAACTAATGAAGGATGGTAGAAGAGGTAAAGGCAAATGATGTCTGACTTGGTATAATTGTGGTTGGGAAATGCCAAATAGAGTGCCTTTGCAACTCTCTCCCTTTTGAGTAAATTATAGCAAGCCTGTGCATAAAACGAATACAAGCTAGGATAATTAAGGCATTTCAATGGGCTCCTCTTCACTGGTTGTGTTCAAATGATGCCTAGGGAGCCACCAGTTGGGGAAGCTTTAATTAAGATTCCTGTGCTGAGCATGGGCTGGCAGTTGGACTCTCTAGGGTGTCAACTGTGTGATTCAGTGACTCTTGACCACATTCACCTACCTTTTAGATCAGGGCTCACCATACAATGCCAAGAGATTCCTGTCACTAAGTATCTCCCCCTACACTAATAACATATACAATAGCCAAAATCTCAGGAGTTTGTCAAAGCTCATAAACTTTGCATAGAGATCTCCTGAGAATGCCGAAATCTTGTGTCATGTGACAACCCAAAATCTTATAGTATTTTGGTATTCTTGGACAAATTGTTCTTGGGAGGAATGAAAATAGGGAGCTTCTGTGAAACTGCAAGAAGATTGGTAACCCGTTTTAAGAGTGCTTTGTGGCTTTTGCTTTTTGAGTGGATTGAGGAAGGTTTTACCAGCCCTTCCAGCCAAATTGTGGCTCTTTTCAGCACCTTAAACCATCCATTTCACCAACTGAAAACTCGTAATCTTCCCAGTGGGGCTGATGTTTTCCCATTTTAGGGGGGGATTAGAAGAAAAATGGTTTAAGGCACCATTTAACATTTTTGGGTTGTTTTGATCTCTTAAAACTTAATAAAGAATCATGAGGGCTGAAAATCACTAGCAACAATCATGATATAACTGGGCTTATAGTACAGTCAGAAAGGAAACAGTGGTCAGCTCTAAACATTTTAATGCCCGCTGGTTAATATTCCCCCCTTTCAATCATCTGATTTACTTGACTTTTTACAGCAAGAGCTTTTCAGACCAGGGGTTGCAATCCAGATTAAAACTGTGCCAAGGGCTATTTTTTCCCAAATGGGTGGAGCCCGGATAAAAAAGGGCAAAAGAAGATAATAAATAACATTAAAACGATCACTCCTCTGTTTATCATGGTCCTTAGTACAAGGTTATATGTATACTTTGTATATACTTCCACTTAATCTATACCAGTGTTTGTCAAACTTGGCAGCTTTAAGATGTGTGGACTTCAAGTCCACACATCTTAAAAGTTGCCAAGTTTGAAAAACACAGGTCTATACTTACGTCATATTTATTATTTTATACATTAAAATGATTAGCCTAAAGCTGTATGTGTCTTAGGTGTAGTTCTAAACCACACTGATTTTTTTTTAAATAGGACGCAGTACACCAGTAATGGTTCAGCTCCACAGTATAGCCACTGATGTAAAATTAGTAAGAAATTACATGCACTAAGGGTGTCAGTCTGATCTGTTTAACATAATGCGATTCACACAATGTATTCCAGCAAGTTTAATAAAAGAGAAATGCTACTCTGCATTATAAATAACTGGATTTAATTTATGCCCAAGCTGCTGATTTTTTAAAAAATAAGATATCTGTCATGAGTCAAAATTCAACTTGTCCCTGAAAATACTGGTGCGGAGGAGGGAGGGAGAAGGGGAGAGGAGAAAATCCTTGGTGTTTTAAAACAGTCTTCCACAGATTTTCATCCATTTCAAATCTGGAACTCAGAAGTCCACATCATGAACACAACCATTCTTCCCATTCTGCTCTGTCTGAATTGCTTCTGGGTTACCTCAAGCAGGGTCTGAAGGTACCAGCCCTTTCCCTGCTCACCTCCAACAGTTTCTACTTTGTGGTAGATCACGTTTGAACATGGAAGCTCCATGACTGCTTGAAGTTTGTTTAAAAAATAATAAAACCCCAATATTCTCATTCTGAACTTCAGAGGTAGAGTCGATGTTAAAGCTGTTGGCGAAGGCATAGGCCTCTTAAACCACTCCCATATGCTATTTACAAAAATACTACATGTGTGCAAGGTGACAAATCATACTTTCCCTGCCTTTAAAAGAAATCAGAGGAAGGGGAAAAGGTAGGTTTTTCACATAATCCCCTTAAAAGAGAGGTATTTCACCTTTACCTTCTTTTTTTGTAGGGAAATGTTAGGAGTAAAAAAGTTTCTAAGTTTTGGCTTTTCAAGGCACATGGTAGATCCGTGGCAGGTCAGTCTCTTCCGGCTCTTGTATGGCGCACAGGCATCTTTTTAAGGGCATCTTTCTATATTCTCTACTTCTTGGGGGGGAAAAAACCCCTCTATTTGCAGATAAATTTTTAAAAAATGTCCTCAAACGGAAGTGATGTTGTAGGTCTTGGGTGGCTGAGCTTGACGATCAAGGGCTAAGGAAACTACTGTGCCTCCTTTAACTTCTGATCAGCAAGAAAATGTCACGCTAGGTTCAGTTTCAGCATCACCTTGCATAGATCCCTGGAACGCAGTTATTCCTCAGCTTGCCTTATACCTAAATGGAAGGAAAATTAAAATATAGGTTTAGCAAAGAAGAACAGGCCATGGGCACCTTGCCAGCTCAAGAAGTGTGGTGAGATCTTGTCAGACCAAGGGTAAGATATTTTTTGCATCAAGTGATAGACTTTTTAAAAATTCATATTTTTGTATGGGAGACATCCAGGATAGGATAATAATATCACATACATGTGTGTGACATGCTGTGTTGGGAGAGCTTTTTTTTTTTTTGGCATAACATTTTTTAGAAATTGTTTAGAACATTTCAGAGACATAACATCCTTTTGTGTCACTGAATTTCAGGAGGGAAATTCAGGCAACAGGGACTAGTAGTCACATTACAGCCTGTCTGTGTGTGTACATTTGAAGATTTTGTTTGCTGAGGGCTAAAGCAAGAAGTGGTTGGTTGACGTTAAAACATCACTGAAGGTGATGGATTTTTTTGCATTTTAGAAAGGTTTTACAGGTGTATTAACCTCACCGGAGGCTTCAGATATCTATTTTATACAAATTTCCACCAAAAAGGGTGTGTTCGTTGCATAATTTCAGCAGTGTGATCTTATGAGGGGAGACTGAGGTGGGAGTGGGTAGGCTCTGATAATTGCAAAAAAAAAAAAGATTTGGAAAGACACACGAGGCCTGGATTTGAGTGTGAGAGTAGAATTAGCAACATAAAAACAGAGTCAATACTTCCAATACCTATGAAGCTGGTTATGACAATCTAGTGCATTTGTAGTTTAATCCAGTGTTTGTCAACCTCAGCAGATTTACCTTGTGTGGACTTCAACTCCCAGAATTCCCCAGCCAGCATGCTGGGAGTTGAAGTCCACACATTTTAAAGCTGCTGAGGTTGACAAACACTGCACTAGTCCACCCAAATAACTTGCTGTGAGTTAACTCCCTACTCATGTTCTGATGATAATAGACTATTGCAAAGCGCTCTACATGGGGCTATCCTTGAAAAGTATCCGGAAGCTACAGCTGGTTCAAAATGCAGCCGCCCAGGCAATTTTGGGTGCCCCAAAGATGGCACATGCTATACCTTTGCTGCGCGAGCTGCACTGGGTCCCAGTTTGCTTCTGGGTCCAATTCAAGGTGTTGGTTATCACCTTTAAAGCCCTACATGGCATGGGTCCAGGTTACCTAAGGGACCGTCTCACCCCCATTATATTGATCTGCCCCACCTGGTCAAGCAGAGGGGGTATGCTGTGGACCCCGTCGATGAAAGCATGTCGACTGGCAGGGCCCAGAAGGAAAGCCTTCTCTGCCGTGGCCCCTGCCCTATGGAATACCCTTCCCCCAGAGGTGAGGCAGGCCCTTACTCTCTTGACCTTCCAGCAAGCAGCCAAGACCTGGCTCTGCCAACTTGCATGGGGCAAGAAAAGGGGCAACCAACCCTGGGGGTGG